ATCAATTTGTAGGTTGTAATTAAAGTTATACAATAGAATTTTTATTGTTTAAAGGAATTTTTGTTCATCAAAAATTGATTAACATTAAAATTTTTTTCTCCTTTTATTTATAAAAAAAATAAAAAAACCAATCAATAGCAGTTTCATGGTCACCATTATGTATCACTGAAAATTATGATTCATTTTCAATTATAGCAGTTGGCAGTAAAGGAGGAAGCGTAACTTTGTGGAAATTTAAAGAAGATGAAAATAGTGATGATTATTTAAGTTACTTGGATACATTGGATTCGGTACATAAATCATGGGTAACAATAACTTCATGGTCAAAATGGATTTCTTGTGATGAAAATAAATGTTAGTATAATTGGTTGATCGGAGATTGATTAGTAATAATTATTATTTATAATATTATAATCATTATTCTTAATTGAGATTTAATAAAATATATATTTTCACTATTTTAATAAAAATGAAAAGATGCATCAAGTCTTATTACTGGAAGTGATGATGGCTCTGTATACTTATGGCGGGTTATGATTGATAAATCAAAAAGTCCAATAAAAAAGGAAGATGAAGAAATTTCTATTATATTGAAAGTTGAACTTTTCAATTCTGATAATCGAATTCCTTCAATAATTAAATGGTGCAATAATTATGTATGTGTTCTCTTTGTGGTGACAAGTGATATAATAATTTAATCTTTAAATTAGCTTTCATTTTTCATAATAATATATTTATGTAGAATAATGGTGAAGAAAAATTGGCAATTGCTAAAGGGCTTAAGATCTATGTTTGGACATCATCATCAAAGTCTTTGTTGATTAGTATTGACCAAGGAATGCCAATGGTTTATATGGTTTCTTTATCTAAAATGTTCACGGGTGAGTTTGTTAATATTTGTTAATCATACAAAATTTAATTATGATAATAATATTTTCTCAATTAATGGTTGTTTTAGGTTTAATTTGGAGTCATGATGGATCCAAATTACATATTTTCACAATGGATGGAAATAATTGGACATTGGAGGTTACAAAAAACAATGGATTAAAAATAGATGATGAATTAACAAATTGCATTAATGAAGTTTTAGTTAATATAATTGAAGAACAAGAATTAAAAGATGAAGAGGAGGAACGTTGTGAAGATAATGACGAAGATGTATTCATTGATGATAATATGGATGATGAAGTAGAAATGAATAGTATTGACAATGATGATGATGATTGGTTGGAAAAAGAACCAATTTTTCTTGGAGTTGATGGATCTTGCAATGGAATCTTTGCGGTGATTGTATTTTGGTATGGCTTAAAAATTCATTACAATGAAAAAAAAAATCATTTGGCTTAGTTTTAATTTTAATTAATATTAGGTTGGAAAGAGCTGATATGCAATATCGTACAAATAATAGCGAGATTTCACATTTAATATTTTGTCCAACCATACTTTATAATAATGAAGAAACCCATGATTCTTTGATTTCAAGAATTAAAGAACTAATATCTGACAAATATTTTAGTAAGAAAATATTTATTACATATTACATGTTATTTGATTATATTGATTGATAATTATTTTATAATTTATAATTTGTATTTATATTATATATATGATATATTTAGTCCTTAGAAATTCAATTTCATATGTGTTATGGGATATTTTGGAATTTTGTGACCCGGAAAATGAAACTGAATCAGATTCATTACTTGAAAAATTGATTGCAATTTGTAAACAATCATATAATAACAATTTATATCTAAATAATTATGGCAACGAAGATGATGAAGAATTAACAAATATTGAATCTTTATATTTAATAAAAAGGTAATCAATTTAAGGAATATAATATAACTGTATGGAAATTAGATTTACTAATTAAAAAAAAATTATTTTTATGGGGAAAATTAGCATTAATTTAAATGAAATTACTAGACAATTGAGAGATAGATTATATGCGAATGGTTTAATAAATTCATTTAGAATAATAATCTATTTACTTTTAAATGTTGTGGTGAGTCTTATAATTATTATTAAAAATGTATTATAAATGTATTAAACGCGTCAATGATGCTAATAATTATTATTTACAATTGGTAACCAAAAAAACCCAGAATTTAGGAATTTCAGATAAGAAAAAAGCACATTTTGGAGTAATAATTACTGATTATTTGAAGAAAATTGAAAATCATTATTTGAAAAATGTTCTTTTACTCATTGTCAATTGTATGAAATCCGGATTGACTATTAATGGTGAGCAACTATCCAATCAATATGTTTTTTTTTAACATATCTAACTAAAGATTTCTAGTTCTAAATATATTTGTTTAAAGAGGCAGATATAAAGTTCACATTGAGATTATGTGATTTGTCACTTTTATGTCATTCAGAAGATAAGAATTTATTAAAGATTACAAAATTTGCATATGAATATTTGGATTCTTTAAAAAGTCAAAACTATGGTATATTTGAATCATTAGAAAATGAAATATCTTTAGTCACCAATTTGATCTCCTCTAACAGTAGTAATAATAATGAATCACAATCAATCAACTTAAATGCAAGAGATCTATGTCCTATTTGTCAAGCAAATATCCTTTTTCCTTACTTTTTTACTGTTGTCATTACATTTTATTATTATTAATATTATTTCTTAATTAATTAATAATGCTGTTATTTATTATTTCACATTATTCAATAATACCAGGATTAAAAGGAATGTGTGAAAATGGACATTCTTTAGGTAAAAATAATATTTAATATTTGTAATATTAGTAATAATAAATAATAATATTTTTACCAAAAAAATTTATATTATTTTTTTCTAATAGATTGTTGTTCACTAACTTTGATAATATTGAAAACAAAATATTCAAGATCTTGTAATTTATGTCATCATAAAGCTATTTCCATTCATTGTTTTTATCAAAAAGATATTAAAAAAAAAAACAAGAGAATTGGTGGTGGTGGTAGTAATGGTGGGAGTGATCATGATGAAATTAAGGCAATTTCTTCTTCAATATTTGTTAAATCAATTTTGATGGCTGGTGAGAAATGTTTATATTGTGGTAATAACTTTATGAAAAAATTTTAGAAAAAGCAGGTTCTTTTGAGAAAATATTGGCCATATCCAATTGAGAGAAGAAAAATTTATAATAAATAATAATAAAACAACTAACACTTTTTTGAAATCCCAAGATTTTCTTATTACCTGCTATTTATCATATTAATATCCTAGTAATTCAATAATTCAATATATAGAATAATCCTGGGTATTTGCAATGGTAATTCTTTTTACCATGGCACTAATCCATCACTAACCTTACATAGATCGGGGTCCTATGAAAACATGTTAAAGGAATTGTCTTGCTTCTATGGATATAAAAAACTGCTTAGATATAGTTACTTCAAGATTATCAAGATTTTTTTATTGTAAAAATTTACCACAAAAAAAAATGAGTGACCAAACTATAATAATTTTGCATAGTTTAAATTTTTTTTAAGTCAAATGCAAAAATTTTCCTATCCACCACCACCAAATTTTTTACAACATAGATTAAATTTTGGGATAAATTGGGTGCATTAAAGCCATAGATTTTTATCAAACTGTACACTACTTGTTTGAACAGAGATAAATAGCAGAAAATGACATTAGAATTGCTCTAGATCATTAATAAGAATCACCAGATAAAAATATCATAATGGATCAAATAAATTCCTTGATCCTTTTGAGGTGTGCCATGTCTTTTGATTTTGAATAAGCAATCATATTATTAGTGTTTACTATATTGATATTTTAGACTCGGACAAAGAATTCATTAATAGAAAATTGGTGGGTTAAAGAAGCATTAGAAGTCACTAGAATTTTGTAAACAAATACAGATGACAAGAATTGTGATTTTGATTATTGATGCAGAACTTTTAATTGATAACTAAAAATTTAGATAATATAGACCAAGTTTTTTTGAAAAGAAAAAAATCCCATGGGTTTATCTGCTGATAGAAAAAAGTATTTAAGCAAAGAAGTTTCTAAATATGTTCAAAATCCTGTCAAAATGATTTTCTCGTAACATGATTTTTTCAACACTTGCCCTATTACTATACGAGTTCAATTGTTGAAATATAAATTATAACAAGAATATTAAGTCTCGAACAAATCAACGAAATTCGATCCAATTCGTGCTTTGATTCGGTTCGGTTCGGTTTGAATCAATATATAGAAATTATGGATACATTATTTTCTTATGTAACCAAAATTAATTTCCTATTTATTTCTAAAAGTTCTAAATATTTTTTTTAAAAAAATGGAAAAATTAAATAATATTTATATAAAAAATAAAAAAAGAAAAAAATTACAACAATAATTAATTAATAAGTGATTGATTGAATTGAATGATTAATTAATGGAATAAATTTAAATTTATCTTTGCTGATTAATTAAATATGTTTTTAATCGATAATTGATGATTATTGTGACAAGGAAAGAAAAACAATAACATTACGATGATAGTATTACGTAGTTGCAGTAGTAATAATTAATATTAATATTAATATTATTGTCATTATTATTATTATTATTAAATTATTATTATTATTATTATTATTATTATTATTATTATTAGTTTACAAGAAATAATCTGGTGTTCTACGAGTTACGTGTGGTTCGCCTTTTCTTGGTGCAGGATCAAATTGCAAACTAAAATTTGAGGTAAAAGAAAATTTTTAATTTTTCTAAAAAAATTTTTGATAATAATAATAATCATTTAGATAGAGGAAACTTACAACGTATATTTCAAATGTTCATCTATTTCCATGATTGCAGCTTGATTGCCACAACGATAACAATAATTAGGAGCACTAAAAATTGTGACTACATTTTTATCTTGCGACCAATTATATCCCTAATATTTTAAATAAATTATCATTATTATTATTATTATTATTAAAAAACATAGATATATAACTGCACATATTATTATCATTAACAGTAACCTCCATGACCAATTGATGAGCTCTAGCAATTAATGTTAAGCCATTATTATGATTGAATGCCTCTGATATATCTTGTCCAAAGGTATAGCCAGCACCTCTAGGAGAAATTCCCCAACCACAACGATCATCTGGATCAGACCATAATAAATCACACATTGGACCTTCATGAGGAACTTCTTGGATCCTATCCAAAGACCTGATGTGGTCCAAGGTATCAATAGACGGAGATAAACCACCATGAAGACAAAAGATCTGTCATAAACATTAATTAATTAATTAATTAATAAACAAGTAAATATCATTATAGGTTATTAATTATCAAAGAAAATAACTGTTTTTCCCCAAGAATATAATTTATATTAATAAATATAAATATTAATATTTTAGTACAAACCTGTTCATCAATTAGCGCAGTCAAAGGTAAATAATCAAATAGATCTGTAAAGAATTTCCAGACATTGGCATTACCGTATTTTCTTAAACACTCATCATAGAAACCATATACTTGAGTAATTTGCCTTGATTCATGATTTCCTCGTAAAATGGTAACACGATCCCTATATCTAACTTTTAGAGCAACAAGTAGGGTAACAGTCTCAACAGAATAATAACCACGGTCTACATAATCACCCATAAAAAGGTAATTAGTATCCGGTGAATTTCCACCAATACGGAATAGTTCCATTAGATCATGAAATTGCCCATGGATATCACCACAAACTGTTACTGGACATCTAACTGGTTGAACGTTTGATTCCTCCATAAGAATTTCCCGAGCCTGTGTGTGTGTGTGTCGTAAGTAGTGAATAATAAATTATTATTAACAATGTTAATAATATTATTATTTTATCAATGCCATAATAATATTATTAGTAGTAATACTTTTCAAATATAATTTTTAAAAGCGCAACAATTTTTTTTATTAAACATTATTAATTAAATTTGTAGGTAAAAAATTTTTTTTTTTCAAAAACTTTAAAAGACCTATTAATTAAATACCTTGTCACATAATCTTTTCACATCGGCTTCTGGTAATTGTTTACATTGCATCAGATGTTGAATCCAACCATCTACGTCAGCGAAATCTGTAATTGTCGTCATTATTTATTTATTTATATTTTTTTTTTTTGTCGTAATGAAAACTTTTATTTTAAATAAAGAGACGTTAAATTGTAAAAATAAAGATATCTAATTATAAATTATTTATCGCTTGTTTTTTTTCAAATTGTTCAACTGACAAGCAAAAAAAAGTTTTTTCAATGCTTGTGTGTGACTAAACTTTTATTTCTTTGGAAATATAAAATTACGTAAATAAACAGTTCATGTATTAATATGATGATGATGTAAACATTTAATATTATTAATATTACGCTAATCACTTGAACTTTTGATCGTCGGAAATTACTAAAAAGGCTAATACTAATAAACGATATGCTTATCCAAATAAATTAAAGTCAATATTAATATAAATTGAACATATTAGATTGAGGCGTTAGATATAATAAATATAATCATAATAAAATCAGTAAGGCTTTATACCAAACATGCAGATCAAATGGTTTTAATAATTCCTAGGAACCTTGTCGACAACATAACAACACTATTTTGATTTTTAAATTTGTATTAGAATTTATGACAAGTTACATTTGCAGATTTGCAGTATGAAAATACATCAATGTTAAAAATATGGCCCTGTTATACAGTTCTGCGAGCTTAAAATATTTTTTCAGAATTACTCGCATGATTGGTTTAATAATCCGAATCTTAAAACGTTTATAATTTTGGAAACAAAATAGCTACAGAAAAAATTAAAAATATCAAAACTCCTAGAAACCTTGTCCATAACGTAACAGAGCTTTTTTTTTCTTTGCTTATTATGATTTTTACATTTGTAGTATGAAAGTACACACAATGTCAATAAATCTTTTTAGAGTACGGCTCTGTTATGTTGTAGAAATATGTCCTGCGAATTCAAAATATTTTTCAGAATTAAAAATCTTATATGAATGTTGAGTTATAACAGTTTATGCAAAAGCGTTTTGATTTTATTATTTGATTTCCCCTGTTTGTAATTATATATCTAATACCTTCCATATTAGATTAGATGTGCTGCACATACTGAATTAATTGAGGTTTTCATTAAAATTAAAGATTGAGTGAATTTATAGCCAACCAAGATGTTTTTATGTCAATCTGAAATTTATTAATTAAATTTCGGGTAGGCTAATTTGAGCTTCAACGCAGATTTCAAATTCGCGCACAACGTTGTCATTGTGAGATTTTTGTGAATGATTTTTTTTCGCAATGGAGAAAAACTACGGGAGATCTATGCAGATTACCTAAAGTAATTAATTGATTTAATATATGATGATGTTGATTTGGAATTTATCAATAACAATCATAATATTGATTTAGACAACAAAATTAAAACTTTTGAACCAATTTATGATGTTCCAATTCCCTATTTATCAAGGCATAAGAGATTCATTGGAAGTATTACAAAAGTGTCTAGCAAAAGTTCCAACAAAAGGTCCATAAGCATTTTCATAATTTGCTATTATTAAAGCCAATATCATTGTTTTGTAAATATATTAACTATTAATTTTTATTTTATTTTAAATAATGAATAGCATGTAAGTATTTTCATCATTTATTTGTTATTACAGTCAATATCATTGTTTTTAACTGTTGGTTGATTTTGTTTTATTTTAAATAGTAAATATGATTGGTTTAATAATCCGAATCTTAAAACGTTTATAATTTTGGAAACAAAATAGCTACAGAAAAAATTAAAAATATCAAAACTCCTAGAAACCTTGTCCATAACGTAACAGAGCTTTTTTTTTCTTTGCTTATTATGATTTTTACATTTGTAGTATGAAAGTACACACAATGTCAATAAATCTTTTTAGAGTACGGCTCTGTTATGTTGTAGAAATATGTCCTGCGAATTCAAAATATTTTTCAGAATTAAAAATCTTATATGAATGTTGAGTTATAACAGTTTATGCAAAAGCGTTTTGATTTTATTATTTGATTTCCCCTGTTTGTAATTATATATCTAATACCTTCCATATTAGATTAGATGTGCTGCACATACTGAATTAATTGAGGTTTTCATTAAAATTAAAGATTGAGTGAATTTATAGCCAACCAAGATGTTTTTATGTCAATCTGAAATTTATTAATTAAATTTCGGGTAGGCTAATTTGAGCTTCAACGCAGATTTCAAATTCGCGCACAACGTTGTCATTGTGAGATTTTTGTGAATGATTTTTTTTCGCAATGGAGAAAAACTACGGGAGATCTATGCAGATTACCTAAAGTAATTAATTGATTTAATATATGATGATGTTGATTTGGAATTTATCAATAACAATCATAATATTGATTTAGACAACAAAATTAAAACTTTTGAACCAATTTATGATGTTCCAATTCCCTATTTATCAAGGCATAAGAGATTCATTGGAAGTATTACAAAAGTGTCTAGCAAAAGTTCCAACAAAAGGTCCATAAGCATTTTCATAATTTGCTATTATTAAAGCCAATATCATTGTTTTGTAAATATATTAACTATTAATTTTTATTTTATTTTAAATAATGAATAGCATGTAAGTATTTTCATCATTTATTTGTTATTACAGTCAATATCATTGTTTTTAACTGTTGGTTGATTTTGTTTTATTTTAAATAGTAAATAAGGCTGTATTTGCTCTTTAGCTCTTTGATAGCTTCATTTATTACTTTAATTTTTGGTGGTGATATTATAAATTGAACTCTTTTTTTACTTTTATCTTTTATTTTTTATTATTGGTTATTATAATTTTTACGTTGCATAAGGTTTTCATGCAAATGATAATGTTTATTTACAACATAGGAAGCAAAAATAAATCAATCAAATTCATACACAACAAGTGTTTATTATAATTCGAAAAAGCAGTTTTACGTGTCAATATAAATGGGAAATGAAAAGAAATAAAGTTATGTTAGATAAAAGAATTAAATAATAGTAACAAGAATTACCCCAAGACCAGAACGTTGTTTGAATGAAGGAACAAGAACAGGTAACAAAATTTTAACCCGTGCAATTGTTGATTAATCGTGAATTTGATAACGTAAAATAAATGTTGGTTTGATTCATTTTGTCAACAATCACTTCACCAACAGTTGTTTCGTTAACAAATGGTTCGAATTTAGCAACCATACGACAAACCTTTGAAATAGTAATAGTCTAATAATTAAATTGTACTACTTGAAAATGTATTTAAAGGGTTGATTTTCGACTTGGTTGAAGAAAATTCTCTTCCTAATTCTTCTCTTGACCATATCTCTCGATATAATCAAAATAACCTTAATATAATGAATGTCGACGAAATGATTGTAAACACAACCAATATTTAAGATATACGATTAAACAAATTTATTTAATAAAAACAAAATTTACAACTAAAAAAATGTTTTTTTTTTGCATTTTCTAATAAAATTTCCATTGTTGTTGCACCATCTATTGCTGATTCGATATTTTTCGATATTTTCGATAATCTCATTTTCGTTTAATCTTTCGTCATACTTTCTTTTAGTGCATTGACATTTTTTTTTGATTTCGACTTGAAGATAGTCCAAGATATCAAACATTTAGATTGGCACTTTTGTAGGCAATTATTGTAATAACCATGTCCACACGTGAATATATACACTACAATTATTCAAATTAGTATAGCTAGTGTAATCACAATTATGTAATTGCAAAAAATGTTTGTAGGTGGTTTCCTAGAAGTAACAAAGCCTCTTGGAAGGTGACGATTGGTTATTTCGCAAACTAAAGAAGGCAATTAACACCATTAGATGAAGTTTAGTAATCAAAGGATACTAATTTCGTGCTTGATATAGTGGTAGTATTAGATTGTCTCCGGACGTGAATGCTATGATAATCGTCAACATTCAACATGAATGCACTTTTTGAATATTTTGTGGTTGCATTCTCTACATATTTCTCGTGTTCATATGCAACTTGCTTTTTTTTACGATCTACTGCTCTTGCCCCAAGACTTGTTGTACCTACCGAATCTAAATAGAATACAAGATCGAACTTAAAAGAGTCAATTTTTGTATTATTTAATGAAGCAAGAAGATAACACATGAACACCATTAATCTCTTTCATATGGTTCATTGTTTGTTCATATGGCCGAGCTGCTAAATAGAGTTGGTCAAAAAACCCCTTCAAGCTTGGTTCTATTTCTTGGAGCAAACTGAAACGTTGATAAAACAAACATGAAGATGATGACCAAAAATCTTTTATGAAAGAGAATGTTCAAATAAAGAAGTCCTATATATGATTTTGATGAAATACGAAGATGATTCATTTTATTTTCTGTTTTTTTTTTTTTGATCTTATTTCATGTTTGTTTATCAACGTTTTCAGTTGAAACCTTTTTATCGTTGATATTAGTAACGGCATTGCATTAATTAATTTTTTTCTTTTCCAAAAAATAGATCTATGGTAAATGGTCTGGTGATGTATTATCAAGAAAGAATTGTTATGTGACTATTATAAATTATTATTATCAGACAAAAAAATCTATTTTTGGTATACATGTATGTTTTTATAGAGAAAATATTCCAAGTCTTAATCTTATTTTTCTACTATGCAAGCAAGGTTCAATTTTTCATCAATTTATAAATTATTGTGTTAAAAATTATTGTGGAGTAAAAAGTCAAAAAAAAAACACAAGGATTTTCCGAGTACAGACCCTAATACTAAATAAAAAATTTGTTGGAAAGCAGAAATTTTTAAATCTTAAAAAAAAAGTTTCTTTTTATTTCTATTTTTTAATCGTTTGATAATATTTATTAAAAAATACAATACATTTTGTTAATTATATTAATAGGATATGGGATATGGGATATGGGATATGAGATATGAGTTATGAGTTATGGGATATGGGATATGGGATATGGGATATGGGATATGGGATATGAGATGGGATTGGGTGTGGAATTTTAAGGATTTGAGTATGGATAACAAGTATATACGCATACATACATCTAAATGTACATATTACTTATGTATAATCAATCAGAAGCTAACAGAGACTTACATACAATAGACATTATTCTGTTCTTTCTATTCTATCGACCATGTTGTTGTCGGCAGCATTCATTTTGAACACTTTCCTGATCTTTTACACGACACACGGCCACACAGTCAGTGTATGTGTCCCATTGATAGATGACTTGATAAACAAACATTATTGTTTCTATATTTGCTTTTTGATATGAAAAAAGATTACTATTTTTATTGTCAAAGTCAAAGTTGATAATGCAAGATGATAAGCGAGTGAGTAAAAAATATTTGAAAGATAAATTAGTTTATTCATTTATTCATTTTATTTATTTATCCCAGATCAAAGATCGTTTTAATCAACCAGATTTTTTTCTTTTCAAATATATAAAAAAGCGCAATAATTTCCAAAATTGGTTGGGATTGGGGGTGAAAAAAATTAACCAAGTTTAATCAACACCAAAGAATAACTTTGAAATGGTGGGGGAATGAAAATGTATTCTAATTTAGTTACGATCAAGTTGTGTTTTTTCACTAACGGGATTTTTGTTTATTTTCTTTTTCCAAAAAGGAAATCTCAGCAAAGGGCAACAATAAAATAATAACAATGATTTTTTATTCAGACCGTACGCCATTCTTTAAATGGTCAAAACTGGTTTATTTTTTGTTCATTTATTATTAATTAACCAATAATAGTAATAATGGAATAGCCTTTTCGAATTCCTGGTCTTGTGACCAGAAAATGTTAATACATCATGTGATGAATCCTTTTGACGCTTTATGGTCTGGGTTAAAGGCTCCCAAGACATGGCCATTAGTTTTTGGTCATTACGGATATTCTAAATGCCAGAGATAGATGAAAACCTAATGGCCGATATCATACAAAAAAAAAATCTTGATTTCCAATCAAGTGTTTGCTTCACAAAAATGAATGATTGTTCAATTGTATGCAATACATGGTATTTGCTATCAAGATTTATTATTTTTGAAGAATAGAAATATTTCTGTTTCTGTTCAACAAATTTCAACTTTTTTTATTTTCATTTTGACACAAGCCAGCACAACAAAAATGGCATATCACAATGTTTGACACTTTGGTTTTGATTTCATCCTTTCCAAAAAATTCAGTCTAATAAAGTGGTAGAGCAATGATTCAGGATTCTGTTTCGCTTCTGAATATAACTGATCGTAATAACAATAATAACGTTCCAAGTCGCAACGAACCTTCCTTTACGATCGAATATTTCCCGTACAACAAAACACATTCCAAATTTGTGAATATCTAAAAATGGTACTAGTAGTTTTTATATAAAGTAATATATATATAGATGCGATAATCTAAGATCTTTTATTACGTGATTTTGGATCCGCGACGGAGGAATTGATGGTAGATTTAAAATCCTTTTGTCATTCACTTGATGAAAACCGGACGCAAAAGGTTTACAAATCATTTCACCAAATTAGAATCTTAATTGATGATTCGGAATTTCCCAAAAGGTCAAGAATTTCTAGAAACAGAATATTTGAGAGTAGCATTGAAGCATTGGTAATAATCAGTAGAAATTAATGTGTCTAAAGATTTTGATTTTTGGGAAAAAAAGTAAACTTCTTTAGGTCGATCGCTTTCCCATACTTTATTATTATGGAATGTGTGAAGAAATTTCTGAGGATGAATGAACTAAATAATCACCAGGATTAAATCTTTTTATTTTCAAAGCTGTCTATATAGATTATAACTATTTTTTTGATATACATATATAATCAAATTATTTGGTAATACTTTCTATTTCATAAAATCTATTATCATCTTTAAACTATTATATACCTAATTTTTTTATTTATTTTTAAATAATACATTACCACTCAAATTTAAAAAAACAAAAAGATTTTTACAACATAAATAATATAAATAAATAAATAAATAAATAAAATATATTTTCTCAAAAAAAAACCATTTTATTTTTATATTATTATTTTATTATTATTTGATGAACCTATTACAAAATAAAGTGAAAATCGTTAATTAATTAACTCATAAATTATTGATTAATCTGTCAGGAAACATAAATTTTTTTTACCTGTAAAATCGTCTATAATTTTAATTTTATTGTCATTTCTATTATTATCATCATTTCCATTATTATTATTATCACCGCCACTTCCATTATCATCATCTGTATCTTTCTTTTGGTGTTGTTGTAATTGATTATCTTGATTTTTATTTATAGCATCATTGGTAACATCAACTGAATTTGTTCTTGATTTTTCTATTGGTAATGAATTTTTTGGAATTGGTAAATCACGAAGCCTTAGAAATTTACTTTCCAATACCATTGTTTTATTTTTATTGTCGTCGTCATCGCTGTCATCATTATTACTATTGCAATTACTGCTGCTGCTGCTGCTGCTGCTATCGCTGCTATTGCTACCACTATTACTACGACTAATGATCGTATGATTAAATCCTAGTTTATTTAATCGAAATTTTTCAGCTTCTAAAAATTGTTTGAATTCATTGGCTGCTTTATTAGCTAGTGTTTTTGATTTAGTACTATTGACACTATTGAAATTATTATTGCCATTATTATTATTATTATCATTGATATTATTATTATTAGCTGTGGTTGTAGATGTGGTTGTAGTTGTAGTGATAGCGATAGAGATAGTATTAGAATCAGATATTATTAGGTCGTAACCTTTCCACCTTGATGCTATTTCAAACAATTCGTCAATATTTGATCTGTTATTGATATTTGCATTCCAACATCTTTCCATTACCTTTATATAACAATCAGGTATACTATTATTGCTATTATAACTACCAATACTATTACTACTACCAATACTATTACTGCTATTAAGATTATTATTGCTATTATTATTAGTATTGATATTATTAATATTAGCATTAATTGTAGGTCTCAAACCGTTACAAATATCAATTGCCAATTGATTATCATGTAATCTATTACTAAAAGGTACCCTTCCAAAACATATTTGCCACATTATTATTCCTATACTATAGATATCAGATGATTTACTACTCTCGTCACCATATAACATTTCAGGCGCAATATATGGCAGTATACCATATAGTTGTTGATCTTTATTGAAATTATTTAACCCTGCATCCGTTATATAAACTTTTATTTTATTATTATTAATATTATTGTTATCATCATCATCATCATTATTGACATTACTGTTAATATTATTGTTGGTATTACTTTTACTATTATTATTACCATCATCACCATTATTATTATTATAAGATATTAATATATTATTAGGATTTAAATTGTTGTGTGTTAAATTTGCTTTATGTATGTCTCTCAATCCTTTAATTATATCATATAATATATTAATTCTTTGTTCCCAGCTTAAAACTTTATGATATTTTGATAGAAATTGATTTAGATTGATGGAATTTGTATGTTGATATATTAGCACATAATCTTTTGTTATGGGTTCCCGTGTTATACCATATAATTGGGGTATTTTGTCACTATTTATGTTCAAGTGATAATTTTTTAACTATATTTATATTTGATATATATAATAGAAAAAAAATTAATAAATATTTATAGATAGATATATATATATACATTATAGATATATTCGTTTATTTCCTAACCTGAGTAATAAAATCTTTTGAAATATTTTCAGAATTTAAAATTTGTTTAAGCATTACTAATTTATTTTTATCTTCATCGTTATTAGCATCATCATTAAACGGTGATGTTGATTTTGGTACATTTGTAATATATTTGATTGCGATTGTTGATGAATCCCTTCTCACCTGATTATTTATCAACTAGTAATTAAAAAAAAATTTTTAAAAATTGATAAATACAAGGATTAAAAGTAAAGAGTTAAATTAATCAATTAATTAAAAACCTTTTTCTTTTTTTTTAATGGAAGTTTAAATAATTTTTTAAAGAATCTATTTGTTTCTTTTCTCTATTAATTATAAAAATTTAATTTATATTAGAGCTGTTTAAATAAATTGATATGTGTCAATTGAATAATAAATATTTACTTTAATTTGTATCCCTTGTACTTGTCCGTTTCCATATACATTGCCACTACCACCATCATCACCGTCATTTCCCAATTTGGTATCATCATCATGATCAGCAAATCTTAATTTTAAAGTTTTTCTCATCTCATATATTTTTTTCATTCTAACAATAAAATCTTGTAATAAATCATTCCATAATTCACCGTCTAATTTGTCATTATTTAATTTCTCCGATAATTCTTTATTATTAAATTTTAAATAATCCAAAATAATTTCTAATTGTGTATTATATACCCACTGTTTCAATGTGCCATTAAATCTATTGTTATTATTACTGATCCATTTGGATTCGGATAATACATTTTTTGGAGTCGTGTTTATTTCTTTGATGATTTGAAATTCTTCTTCATAATTTCCAAAATATCTTAAAAATTTATAGTAATTTGGTACTTCCAATTGCGTCTCTCTAATAAACGAGTCGATTTCTTTATTGTCAGATGTCCATTTATGAAAATTCGATTGGAATAGAAATGATTCACATTGATAACACCAATTTTCCATTAAATAGTTATTATTACATTGAAAACATGTTGTTGGGAATTTAATTACATTGTTGATATTGTTGATTTTGTTGGTGTTGTCATTATTACCATCATTGTTTATATTCTTGACGTTACCATCACCATTATTGACATTATTAACGTTATTATTGAGAAAGAGAGTTTTATCATCGAATGTTTTTCTTATTCCATCAAAAAACCAATTAACAAACCTCAATACAGATTCTTCTGATACAAGACAGCTAAATATTATCTCGTGTAATTTATCACTCATTGTCCACATTTCTCCCGTTGTGTTTGTTGCTGTTGCTGTCGCTGTTGATGCTAGTTGTTGTAAAAATGATAATTAATTAACCAATTTGATTGAATGATCATTATTAATATTATTAAATAAATAAATAAATAATAAAACTTGCCTCTTTTTGTATCCTGAGAGAAATTACTATTTACTGATGATCCATACATACTACTTCTATTACTATGACCGGTTCTTGATTCAAGTATCATTGCAACCACTGCCACGTTTACATGATGTCTTACATGATCTGGTAATTCCATTTTTCAAAGAATTTTATATTTATAATTTTTATAATTTTTAATTTTTAATTTTTAATTATTTTCTATATTTTCTATTCAATATATAATATATATGCATATGTTGATTTAAATCTTTTTTAATCTATTGATTTTTTTGCGAGAATGGGATGTTGTAAGCAAAAGAATGTTTGAGAGAGTAGAGGAATAATGTGTGATTGTTGCTTTATTTTTTTTTTTAATAAAAACAGTTACCTATTTATTTAAAAATATTTTTTTTATTGGGTATACTACAAACAAAGTGAACAGTTTTGAACAGTTTGAACAGTTTCTATTGTTTCTATTGGCTGGATGTACTGTAAAATAAAAAAAATATTTTGTTTCGTACACTAGTAGTCTCGATCATGATGGGCTGGCCGACTTATCGAAACATGTGACTTATAAAAAATTACAATAATGATAATTTTGTGTTAATTTATTTACAATTTACACAAATTTTGTTTATTATTATTTATAAATAAACATAAATAAAATATCCATACTAGATTGTATTGAGAGAAGCTGGTTTTTTTCCTCTCAATTCGGCAATTCGGATAACTCGTTCATTCATAATTTATAATCATATGGTGTGCTTATTACTATTACTGTCTTTTCTTTTTTAAGACAGGTCATTATTTAATTATGTTACACGCTATTATTTTAGAAAGTTCTTTGTTGCCAGTCCCCATTTTGTTATGTAAACATGACCGCATATATAGTTTATAATACGCGTGTTAACCAAATTTGGAAGTTACTGCGGACATATACGAGGCGCAGTCGAATTTATTCACTGGTCCTTTGTTAAGTGGCCGATTTACAGCTACTGAGTTATATATATGTTAGTTAAAAACTGACTTATCAAGAGACTGAGTCAAATTCGCCCACATGTCTTAAAACATTGACAAAAGCAAACCAAAAACTTACTAGCTGATGATTATGTGAGGAATGAAATTATTTTGAATCTAACAAATTTGTCTATATGGCGCAGTTGAATTTACTCATCAAAAGTTGGTTAACTGTTTGTGTTGTTGCATGCTGCAACAAAGTGAACATTTGCATTACAAAGGATTCAGGGATCAAAATTTTTAACATCACTGATTTTACGCATCAATATGTTATAACTTACAATTACATTTTCATTTAATTTCATGCTTACATTTTTTTGGAACAAAAGTTAATTAATAGTGAAGGCATTAAAAGCCTATAATAATATTTATCCAAGAAAAACTCAATCTAAAACGAAAAAAGGTTGGTAATTTTTCAGTTTTGTGGCTAAAAAGTAGTATTAATTAAAATAAACTTTGATAATTCCACTTCTTTATTAAATAATTCACTGTTTGCTGTTAATCAAATACTGGTGACAAATATTCTTCTCAGCCTTGATTTTTCAATATTTAAGATAAATTTTTAGAATGATATTAATATATTAATATATAATTGATATTAAATATATTATCCAAAATAATGTATACATTTGGATCATTCATACATTACTAAAAATAATAAAGATGATCTCTCAAAGATTTACAAAAATCACGTGAACCGACTTATCAAGAGTCATTTATTATAGCTTAACGAGAGTTTATATATGTGCCCGGCTTATCAAGAGATTTTTAAATATAAAAAACAAGGGCCGGAAATTTTGTCCGAGTTAAGCCAAATCCGATTTATCGAGTTTGTCTATGTACCAAGAATTTCAGGGATCAAAATTTAGTCATTTGTAATGTGATCATAATATTAATATTACTAACTATTACGCAAAGCAAATACCAATTGTTCATTTGTTACCATTTTGATAAGAATCTTATAATTACCCAGCAAGATCTGCTCTGCCTTTTGATTCCAATTAAAATATTTAAAAACATATCAATGCAAACAAAAAAAAAAGTACTTGGTTAGTTATTAACACTTCTTCTTTAGGAACACCATTCACGTTTTGTCATATTGTTTTTCCAATAATAATTTTTGAATTTTTTTTTTTAAACGCGTATTTTTTCTTTTTATAAAAAAATAAAGACAATATACTTGAAACAAGAAGTAAGTGTTTATCATAAGAATGGTGGTGGTTATTGCCACTCTAGTTTCTTATTAATTAATGGTCAATTTTTTTAAAACATTCTTTAAAAGGTTTAATAACATCTTTGGAAAATGCCACCTTGTTAATCAAGAACATTATTGATTCCAACGAAGATGCCCTACCATTAAAAACATATTATTAAACTTGTAGATGATTTGACAGATTTGTTGAGTGGATCAGATTATTATGACGCAGAGATTAAAATTGGAGAGGAGGATATTAAAGCTTTCAAGGCATATTAACATCTTGAAAGCAAGATCTTATTTTAAGGTGGCGTTATCAAATAATTGGGTGAAAAGATCAGAAAATGGATAATTTTATTGGAAATAAAAGATACTTCTTCAAAAATATTTGAGATTCTTTTAACGTAAATAATAATAATCTTATTTATTTATTATTGATTTTTTATAATATATATATATATATATATAATTAATATAATTACCATCTTTAAATATAAATCTAATAAAAAAAAATTTTTTTTCAAAAGATATATTTATAATGGAACCATCGACGTTGATAGCTGGAACCAGATGAAATTCTTGAACTTGTGATCAATTATGCTTTTATGAATTGATTGACAATTTATAGAATTATTTAATGGTTAAAAAAAATGAATGGATTAAACAAAATTTAATTTATGTTCATAGAATTTCATCACAATATCATTTATCATTTAGCATGCTTCAAGATAATTTTAAAAAATTAATTTGTGAAAATCCTGAATTGTTTTTTTTGATTCTGATGATGATGGTTATAAAGTTATTGAAGAATCAACAATTTGATCAATATTGGAAAGAGATGATTTAAATGTAGAAAATGAAATTGATATCTGGAACCATATTATTTGATGGGGAATCAAACAAATTGAAAATTTAGAAGAAGTAGGAAGAAAAAAAATGCAATTGAATTAGGACATTATTATCAAAAAATAAAAAACTAAAATCAATCAAACTAGAAGATATTTCGTGTGGAACAATGATAATATAATTAAATTGAAAACACTTTTGAAATATTATTCTGCTAATAAGATTTAATGTGATCTCTTCAAATGGTTTTAATGAAAAAATCAAACCTATAAAAAGACTATTGAGAAAGAAATATATTTCAATATTACAACCATGCTGACAAATGGCAACCAAGGCTATTACTTCAAAAAGGTCCAAGAATCAGAAGATTATTAAGATTAGAAATGAAATCTTTACTGGCTAATTGGATTGAGATAAGTAATCCATCTCACGATTTTGAATTGATTCATTGTGGTTCTCAAGATAGATTTTCAAAGTAGTGGATGTTAGCTGGCTAATAATAATCTGCATACATAATCTCTAAATTTGGTAATGGATTTCCGCGTTACCTTCTGGTTATAGAAATAAAATTACCAATTTAGGTAGTAAACGGCTTAGCCGGCCAAGGATTTTTAAACGGCTAATGTCACTATTTCAAGGGCAATTTTTGAGGAGAAATGCTATAATATTGAACAAACTGTGGTTATAATGAAAATTAAGATTAAGGAAACTGAAGAATTAGTAGATGGATATGCTAGAATAAGGAGGGTATGTTCCCAGATGAGGAATATGAAATAAAAGCTTTATTTTAAGGTAAATGAAGACAAATTAATGGCTCAATATTAAATAAGTCAAAAAACCTGAATGGGCAACTTGCTTGGAAAAATATAGCATTTAATGAAATGCTAGTAGATTTTTTTGATCTACAATTATGCAACAATATTAATAATGAACCTCATTGCTGATAATCATAGCAATGTAGTCTATGAAAATAGACTTGGGCCTTAATCAAGCTCATTTGATAGAGGATTATGTAGTTTATAAATTAGTAAAAAATAAATTTTAATAAAAAATGACTTTTAGTTTTATTTCTTTCAATTTAGACATTAAATAAATTCGTATAACAATTTTAATTTGTAAGAACAAAGTTTTGCAGTTAAAGCCAATGTCTCCAAATAAATGGACATTTGTAAATAGAATTGTGATCTTAGTTATTAATGATGTTAAATAAACTTGTACATGTAAAGGCATTAAATTTTATACCTTACAAATACAACTCTCCAGCTTTGTAAGTTATAACAATAAAACTTTTAATAAAACAGATTTATTGAAGCGCTGTCCAATCATACGTTGTACATGTGACCTAGCCCTTTTCATTTTATTAATATGTTCGTATTTTATTAACAATTATATATAGGAGTACTCATTCGAGTGAATGATTAATAAATTGATTTTTTTAATCGATCAAATAAAAAAATTTGAATTGATTAGCAACTTTTAAAATTTTATTTATTTATTTATACTGTTAAAAGTTATTACTAATTGAACGTCTATACAAAGAGCTAACGGTTATTGGCCAATATTTCATTGTTATAATTAAATGTGAGTTAAGACTTATTTATTGGCATTTAAATTTCATGTGCAAAAAATATTTTTCCTTTATTGAGCAATTATATATATAACAAAAATAAAAATACAAATATTTAACAACTAATATTATTAAGTAATTTACAAATTAAAAAGTACTAGGTATTATTAATATATTCTAATATTGGGGCACCAACCTCGTTAATCTCTGGAATCGTGCATTTGATGTCAAACGCTTTTGACAATACTATTTTAAATATTTTATGAATGTTGATCGAATGAGACGTTGAACAAAATATCAATGATGCTTTCATTGCCTTGGCAAATCGACGAGCCTGATAGAGAGAAAAAGGAAATCATTAAAGAGAAAAAGGAATAGTAAATAATTTGAAATAAAGATGGAAATTAACCTGTTTTGTAATAGCTTGTTTTTCTTCATCTGAAAAAAGTACAAATTGATCATATTTTGTACCAATAAGGAATGGCATTGCACCCTAAAAAAATTCCGTAATTAATTAATATTAATTAATAAATAATTAATAATTAAAATAAATAAATATTTTACTTTATTAAATCCTTTGGCTTGTCTAAACCATTCTTTGATGCTATTTAAAGTTGCTTTACGTGATAAATCAAACATGAATAAGATAGCTGCTGCATCATTACAAACTAATGGTAACATATTAACAAATTCACGCTGTCCTAAAAAAATTATTACATAATATTATTAATTATATTTACCAATAATTCTTTATAGTATTTATTACAAAGAATTATTAGTAATACAACATACCACCAAGATCCCATATACTAAAAGTTATTTGGTGATTTCTTAGAGAAATTGTTTTTTCCATAAAATTCACACCTAAAAATAATAATTATCTATTGTCAGTATTATTCAAGAAGAAACTTTTTCTCTCGCACATTTAAACATGCATATTTTTTTACCTAAAGTTTGAATATAATCTTCATCAAATGATCCCTCGACATATTTAACCATCAAACTAGTTTTTCCAATTTGAGAATCTCCAACCATTCCCACTTTTAATAATAATCTTTTCGAAAAAATTCAATAATAATATTATTAGTTTTATCGTTATATGTCAATGATTATTTTATTATTAAAAAAACTTACTCTTGGACTTTTTTCTCATTGCTGCTGCTGCTGCTGTTATTATCATTATCATCGTTGTTGTTGTTGTCCTTGGTGGTGTTGTTGTTGTTTTTGGCTTTGTTTTTGTTTTTAGACAAAGTCATTTTTTTTAAAAATGTATTTTTAGAGAGAAACAGAAAATATTATAATTTTTTTTAAAGCTCTTTGTTCTTGTTTTTATATCATTACAAGGTAATAAGGTATATATAACGATTTTTTATAAGGAGAATAATGATGATTAATCTTTAATATTGAAACCCTTAAAATGTTTATATTTATATTTATTTATTTATGTTGTTCCACGATAATTGGATCCAATTTATACAGGAGAGATATTTGTCCTGAACATCTTTTCCAAGGATGGTAATATATAGGATCTCGCGATTGAAAAACGTGGGGGGCTATTGTCGTCATTACTTTCTTTATATATTAACATTAATGTATACAAAAAAAACAGAAGGATAATCACTTATTAAAGTAAAAGTATTTAAGAAATGAACCAATTATGTTGGAAAGGCTCTTTCTAAATAGAAATTAATTATAAAACTTCGATCCAGGTGAAGAAGGTATATAAAAAAACTATAAAATGTGTAACCAACCGTGGGATTTGACTGGTTTGCTGAAGTAATCATTATAATGATATATAAAAATCGGCGATATTAATATGAGACATGCTGCAACAAAATAAGACAAAGTGAGCATTGGTATTATGGATGTATATAACATGTTATAATTGTATGATAAACTTATGTTATACATCTTCATAGAACTCTTGATTGTTACTACTGTCTTCTAAATTAATAAATTCATCAAAATCATTATCATAATCATAATTTTCACTATCATAATTATTGTCATTATAATTGAAATCCAAGTCATTGTCAATTTCTTCATCTTCAAAAAATAGTGGTTTTGGTAAAGTAACAATGAAATTAACAATTGATTCATTATGGTTGTTTATCCGATCATCACTTGTTATACAGCCATATTTTGATTTTTCAATTTGATTATTAATATTTACAGTAATTTCATTATATTTATCATTTAACAATTTTGATAATGAATGTTTTTCTAGATGGTAATTCATAAACAAAAATTGATAAAGTACAATTGATAAGGGGAGATCACTACCAAAAATTGCTAGAGATAAATAATTGTCTAGTTCTTTTTTTTTTTAACTTCTTTTCAATGCCAAGATAGAGAGCTTTCTAACTTAGAAGTGTTTTCTTTTAAGTCTTTTTCAACTTGATGTAATTGTTCAGTTTGACCAATAAATCTTTCAATTTGTTTTCTAATTGTTCTTGTTTAATATTGTTAATTATTTCTTTTACTTTTCACTACCATAATATATTATTTTAGTAAAGTTTTATATGGCTTTTTTTTGGACAAATAATATCTTTAAATTCATCCATTATAAAGGTATTCTTGCCTTTTTGTAGTTCAAAGGAGGTGGTGTTAACATTAAAATAGATAAAGATTTAATTTGTTGAAAATATCTCTTTCTGGGTTTTCAATAAATTGAATTTAGTAAAAGGTCCATTAGCAACTTCTTGAACTTTTACTGCACCAAGATTAGATGCTTCAAAAAGAAAATATTGGTATTTTTGTATGCTTGACAATTTCTTAAAATAAATTCCCAAAATATGTATGTATGTATGTATGTATAGTAATAAATAGAAACGAGACTATCTTGGCATGAATCATTACTAGCCTTTAACATGAGCAAACAATTTAATAAGAAACGTTTTTTTGGAATGTTGATATATTAAAAGTTAGATTGGTAATTTATGGTTGAAGATTGAGAATACCATCCACTTACCCACTCACTTGTTGGCTCCCATTCATTAATTCATTCGCCTAAGCTCAAGATCTTGTAAAAAATGCTTGGACATATCAAATATGGGTCTGATTCATTTCGTCGACAATCATTTCATCGACAATCATTTCGTCGAAAGTTTGTTTCATCGAAAGTTTATTTCATCGAAAGTTCATTTCGTCGAAAATTATTTCGTCGACAATCATTTCGTCGAAAGTTTATTTCGTCGACAGTTTATTTCGTCGACAGTTCATTTCTACAACAATTCATGTTAATTTGCATGTATTACAGTGTCACCAATTATGTTTGGAAAAGCGTGAATTAATTGATTTATTATGCTTATGTGGAATAGGTTTACCAACATATTAATTTAATTAGTGGATAACTTTGGTTTTAAATGTTTATTTATTTTATTTAATCGAAACTAATTAAAGATTTAGAGCTATGTTTTAACACAAAATTTTAATCCATGATATGATCATTAAAGTATACTTTTGTAATTAAAGCACAAAATTCGTCTGATAGCTTTATTGTAAGGTTTCTGGTCTAATATACCTACTTCTATATAAAAAACGTTGAAAAACCCAAATCGACAAAATAGTTTGAGCTTTGAGAAACAGTTTGGGCTAGAAACCTTACTTGATTGTCAGACCCATTTAATCATACGATTTTAATAATATCAAAAACTAATTTTCAATTTAATGATTTAGCGTAACATATGCATTGCACTGTTTAGTATCTACTACTACCATTTAATTTATTTATTATTAGTATAATTTGCATTTGTATGATTGTAATTAAGAAAGAAAAATTCAGGTAAAATCAGAGTGCTAATTAGTTTGCAAGTATACGAATGACTCAAATTTATGTATCATGAAAGGAATATTACCAATTTGTCTGATCCACACACTCTACTAAAAAACAATAATTATTATCAATGCTAAAATATTCAATGTCGATATTGTTGCCATCACTATCATCACCTCATTTATCATTAGTACGATACATAAGCCGACGAAATGAACTGTCGACGAAATAATTTTCGACAAAATGAACTTTCGACGAAATGATTGTCGACGAAATGATTGTCGATGAAGTGATTGTCGACGAAACAATTTTCGACGAAGTAAACGGGACCGCAGGAAAATAAATCTTACACAAACCTACGTAGGGTTCAGAATTGGCCAGCATTATGTCGATATTTTGGTAATTCTGTTAACATTTCCACATAATGCTGGTCAGTTTTAAACCATACGTAAGTTTACATGAGATTTATTTTCCTGATGTAATTATTAGATCATTTGGAATAAGTTAAATATTAACAAAATATATTCATAATAATATTCCTATTTTTTTTATTACCAACTTGTATACATGGCATTATGATTATTGCCACTACCACCATCATTACCACCACTACTACCACCATTACTATCACTACCACTACTATCATTACCACCACTAACACCATAATTACCATCACTACCACCACAATCCTTTAGAGCTTTATTCCGAAATATTCAGACCTTGCTTGATGTACTGTGCCAAAGGTCTATAATATTAATAAATAAATTTCTTTATTGTTAATTATTATTTCTCCAATTCTTTGTATTCATAATTATCAAACAATAAATTAACTATTATTATTATTATTATTATTATTTTGAAATTTTGACCATGTAATTTTAAAATTCTAAATAAATTAATAACCTTATAAATCAGTCCCTTATAATTAAAAGCAAAATTTTTCTAACACAACCTTCCAAGTAGTTATAAGCGACTTTGTAGATAACACTTTGGCACAACTGTTGCTGTTGAATTTGCTTTGGTCTGCATACTAATTGAGCGATAATCTTAAAATAAGTGTGAAGAAAAGAAACGCTTTCGACCTGGCGTAGAATAACCAATATTTAAGCTAACCTTTTCTTTTAACTGTTGTTAAAAGCCCCAGTCTGGCTCTAAAAATTTTATTATGGTTGAAAATCGCTTGCTATATGAAAAACGGTGATTTTTTTTTTTTGAAGTAGACGATTTTATTCGTGTAACGTTTATATTGATCTGCAATGTCCCGCATACAACAGTGATAACTAAATTTATTTCTCCTTTTATTTGGAAAAAAAAAAAATCAAATTATTCCAAATTAAATAAAAATAAATCTTATCTATCTACTATTTTAATTTAAAGAATATGGCTACTGATAACGTATACTATCATTGATTTATTTATTTTTTAGTTACATGTATATATATATATCATCTATTAATTATTGTTTGGGGTAATGGAACAATTTTAGGCTAGTTTTAATGAGGCTGCTAAAGCTTTTGGAGAGCTTGCTTCTAGTGGGAAACTTAGTAATGAAGAGAAATTAGAAGGTTATGGTTTATTCAAACAAGCTACCATAGGTGATAATACTACAGGTACTAAAATTATTATTATTATGGAATTTAGCATTTTTTTATAATCATATTTCTAATAATTCATATATTACATTATATTAGCTGAACCTGGTATGTTCTCTGGTATGGAAGCCAAAGCTAAATGGAAGGCTTGGGAGAGTAGAAAAGGTCTCTTTAATTATTTATTTTCGTTATATCATTGTAGCTAGTAGATAGTATTCTTAATAGTATCTATTGATAATATTTGTTGATTACACCCTAATCTATCCATTCAATATATTAATTTTAGGTCTTTCTAAAGAAGAAGCTCAAAAAAACTATATTGAATTAAACGAGAAACTTCAAAAGAAATAATTCACATAACCAATCAAATAAATTATTACTATTTATGTCAAGAGTGTATGTGAGCAAAAATTATTTATAATGCAATATAATAATATTATTATTATGATTAGCATTTATTATTATTAAATAAAATATTTATTTTATAATTTTGAATTTGTCCAATTTGGTTTACGTTTTTCACGAAATGCCAAAATGCCTTCTGAAAAATTCTCGCCACTAATCCATTTTTTAGTTTTTGATGAATTGTAAAGTTTTTGTTCTGCTTCAGTCATCGAACCTGATTCAAGTGATAATAAGAATGCTAATTTTGTGATTTGTATGGCATC